TCCACCTGCCCCCTTGGAGATCCTGTGCCCACACCCACATTAGCTCCCACCCCCAGCACTTGTGCCATCTTGGCAGCTTGGTCCATTTGCACCCTACCATCTTGGATGCATACACCCCGCTTTGCCCACCGTGTGCCATATGCACTCCCTCTGCCCCTTACCACACTGGTCCTCTGCACGCCCACCCTATAAACACATCTTCCTGAGCTCAGTTTCTGCACATACACCGGGACCTTTTTTGCACAGTTGGGCTCCTTCGGTCTCTGCACCCAACCTGCCACGTTGATGTACTACTTGCACGCTCAGGATTTGGCCCCCGATTTGGTGCAAGGAATTCGCTTTGCACACTTCTGTTCTCCATGTACACGAGTGCAACCTCTGGCATATTCCTTGCTCTCCACTTACTGGGGTCTTTGTACCCACCCAATCACAGAAGTACACCCCTTTGCACACTCAAGAACCTCTGCTGCCTCTCCTATGAAGTCACTTGCACACTTTAAGGTTAATGCGCTGGACTGTAAAGTTGGTTTGAACCGAAAGGTCAGAGGTTCAAACTCACCAGCTGCTTCTCAGAAACTACACAGGTCGGAACCCACTCAAGGGCACTTAACAACACTCAAAGGCTTCGTAGCTCATTGTCCCCTCAAGGGGAGACCTCACACTGCGTGCTTCACTGCCTGGCACGCATGTCAGTGTGAGCCCTTCTCCACCCACCCCTGGTAACCCACTCACCACAGCTCATATAAGCATTATGCCAGCCATTCACCCACTCACTAACCCGTCTCGACTTGTCCCCTCCCTCCTGAATGCACAAGTGACCTTTTGCACAGAAAACACACCTTCTCCCTAGTGGCCTGCTGGCCCCCTCTTTCTCCCTGTACCAGGTATACTTTCAGGACCACCTCCCCACTCACATGCAGAAATCTCACCGGATCGGAACTTGGAGCGAATGCTTTCAGAGCGCTGGGAGGAAGCTGCCAGGGTCATTGCCAAGGCCGGGATGGGGACCTGGACTGGGGTGGGGGTGGGCTGGACCCCCACAGGGTGCAGGGTGAGTAAGGCAGAGGCCTGTCCCCTGTGTGTGAAATTAGCAGGGCAGGAGGTTAGAATAGGTGGGAGCCTCCCTTTGACCACATAACAGCTGATTCTTGGGAGGAGTGGAGTTGGGGGCCAGATTCCTGAGTCTAAGGGGCTGAGGGGCAGAACTCCTGGGTCTGGGGGAGGAGAGAGCTGGGGGTCTGGGCTCCTGTGATTCAGGGTATAGATGGCTGGGTGCTGGACTTCTGGGTGAAGGGGTCGCCCGGGGTGGGGGAGTCAGGCCTCCTGAGTTGTGACCCAGGGGATGGAGCTCTGGGTTCCCTGAGGGAAATAGAGCGGGGAGGGGTCCCAATAGATCTGAGGGTAATGAAAGAGTCTCTGTCACTCGTATCTCAGAAAGGAGTGGGTGGGGGTCTCAGCCACTAGGGTCTGTGGGTAAGGGACTAGGACCAGGGAGGTGACAAGAGTTGAGGGTCTCCCCCCAGCATTCCCAAGGTTCTCACCAGGTAGGTTCGGCGCAGCAGTGCTGTAGGGCGGGTTGGGTCCCGCTGTCTGGGAGGCCGCAGGCTCCGCCCCTTCCCCCCCTCACCCCCCCATTCCCCTCCCTCCCACCCCCCGCAGCCTGGGACCCTCCTTTTTTAAAAAGAGGCGTGCCACCAGCCCCGCCTGGGAGCCCCAGGATGGGCGGGGCAAGACTGGGCGGGTCTTGGGCGAGGCGGACGCCTGGGTTCCCCTCCTCACTCCTCCTTTGCGACCGGGAAGGCCGGGTCGGACGTGGCGGCGGGCAGAATGACAGAAGCAGGTGCCTGCAGAGGGGCCCTGGGTGAGCAGTAGCAGCAGGTGGTCGCGTCCCATCCCGGCCGGCCGGCAGGTGCCACCTGTCGCCTGCTTTTTCCCTGACGCAGCAGGGGAGTGAAAAGTTCAAACTGGAAATCCGGACTTCAGGGTCTAGGGGAGGAGGGGGCTGGGACCCGGACGCCTGGGTTTGGGGGAGGAGGGGCGGAAGACCCAACTCCTGGGTCCTAGGGAGGAGAGGACCACAGGGTAAAGCTTGGATTTGAAAGATAAGGAGTGCTTGAAATAGAGGCGAGAGTAGTTGAGATCCGTGTGCCGACAGGCAGACGATATAAAAAATGTCACTAGGGAGAAGGCTAGATATAGGACAGAAAAATCCAGGAGGGGGTTGGGGACCCAGACTCCTGGATCTGATGGACGAGGGGGCTGGAGGCCCAGACTCCCTGTTCTGAGAGAGGGGGGAACAAGGATATGAATTTGGGGGTCTAAGGGAGATGGGGCTAGTTCACAATGGCAGGACCCAGGGCCTGATATTTGGGAGAGTAAACTGAGAGCTCTGTTCTGAGGTGTGTGGGAGGTCCCAGTGCCCCCTGGGTCGGATTACAAGCAGGAGGGCAAGAGGAGGGCAAGACTATAAATATCTCCTAGACTCATCTGGGGCCCAGAATTCTAGGCAAGGACCCTGATGCCTAGTCCGCAGAAAATGATCACCAGCGCCCCAAGTCTTAACAAGCAAGGCATTGCCAATGCCACAGATACCTTTATTTACTCCTTTGTACTCAAAATATTCCAAGCCCGTATTTTCACATAGTCCCATCATCGGCTCCCCCAAAACTCAAATTCCCAGCATGCCATACGGAGGATAGAACCACAACTCCCAGAAAGCTCTGCTCTCAGACGGGCTCCAGTGAGTAGGAGCCGATGAATTTTTTTAGGGTTCCCGCGCTTGCTTGTTATTGGTCTTCAAGGAGGTGTGGCCACGGGAGGTCCGTGTCGGTGATTGGCCGGCAGCTCCTGCTGCTCAAGGTCCCAGAGGAGGCGGCGGAGCCTGCGCAGTTCACGGTGCAGGGCGTCATCAATCACAGGACCTGTGAGACGTAGGCGCGAACTGCCCAGGGGCAGAATAAGTGGAGGATGGGAGGAGAAGCTTTCGAAGATGTCCCCTGTGAGAAGAAGAAGGATGGGATTAAATTCTTAAAATGGAAGTGAAGTAACTATGTCAAGGCCGAGCCAGGCTGCCTCACGCCCCAAGGAAGAAAAAGCGTAAATTCCAGCAACTCCTGGCGACTTTCCGAGCCCCCAAGGATGATGGTAGTTGTAGTACAAACAAAGGCAGGCTACTGTTGCCTTGGAAACAAGCACTGGGTTTGGGTTTCTGAAGTCTGTTAGGAAGGAAAGGCCGAGAAACAGATCTTAGATTTAAGGATTCTTGAGGATGAAAGGTCTGCATTTGAACTAGGTTGAGGGAGGATGTATGTATGGGAGGAGACTAAGAGTCTAGAATCCTACATCAGAAGGAGAAGACAGGGGATGTGTACTCCTAGGACCAAGGAAAGAAGAAAGTTGACAGCCCTAATGCTTGTCCCCAGTTTCTCCTCACCTGTGTCCACAGCATCTCTCTCTGCAGGGAGAGGGTCCCAGGAGGATGGTGGCCCACGTCCAGGACCCAGCTGGTAGTGGCTGAGCAGGTGATGGAGCTGAGCAGGGGTCAGGGTGGGATGGTCAGTTCGGAGGCTGCTCCATGAAGCCTGGTGGGAAGACCACGTGAGAATGGCTGAGGGATCTTCAATGGAAGGCCATTCATAATGAGGATGAATGGGGAAGGGGTACAGAGGACAGTCTGTGCAATGTCTTCTGGGTATTGTGAGTTTGGTGGTCACTAAAGTGATGATGAAGAACAGATTCTCAGCAGTTAAAAAGGAAAAAAGTGATGTGATTACAGAATAAAAGGATACAGGGAATGGATGCAGATGAAAGAAAATTGGCGACTGGTTTATTAGTGAATGATGTACACATGGGGATTCGTGATTTTATGTGGCTCCTTTTTGAATGCTTGATAATTCCCACACCAAATCCAACTGGCACCAGAATCGTCATTGTGATTTAAAGAAGAGACTCTGGACTCTTTCAGACGACCTAAATTCCAAAATCCCAGCTTAGCTACTAGCGACTAGCAAGTTACTCTCCTCAGTTTTCTTTATCTATAAATTAGACAATAAAGAAGAATGACCTTACTAGGGTTACTAAGAAGATTCCATATGGCAAAATTAGAAATGACTCAGAACACTGCCTGGTGCTTATTAAATACTCTGTACAAGTTAGGTGGTTGTTGTTGTTATATGCCGTGGAGTCGGTTCCGACTCATAGTGACCCTGTACAGGGAAAGCCTCATCTTTCTCCTGCGGAACAGCTGGTAGTTTCAAACTGCTGACCTTGCGGCTCGCAGCCTGATTCGTAACCACTACGCTACCAGAGCTCCTTGTACAAATTACATAAATAAGAGTAAATAAATAAAATCAAGTGACCTATCCTACATGATTTAAAAAAATATATCTATTAGCAACATACTGTCCGGATCTTCATCAGCAGTCACTGAAATGTGCTACTAAGCACAGTATCTGATGTGTAGTTCGTGTTCAATGAATGTTTGAACCACCACATCCCTTGGTCTCTTACTAGACTTCCTCAATCAGCATGTGTGAGAGAGAGGGGCTCTGGAAACTATGTTTAATAAATTCCATGAAGATTCAGAGGCAGTCAAATTTGGACCTTGTTCATGTTGGTTTCTTTCTAGCTACCAAGTCTAGTGTCTGTGCTGGAGTCAGGGATGACATGGGGTCCAAGAGTGAGTGAAATACAGAGGGTGGTTGAGGAATCAGAGGTCAGAGATCAGGTGTAGTTGACGGGAAGTCACCTTGAGCAGAGAGGTGCGGGGTACGCAGAGCAAGTTCACAGCCATCGAGAGTTTCCGGAAGAACTCAGTGGCGATATCACCGAGCCCAGCCCCTTGTAGCCAGTCTAGGACAAGATCCAGGTTGGTTCTAATCTGGACAGCTCGGGACCACTGATAAAAAGGTCGGCCTTGACCTGTGGTGGGAGGGTACACGGAGAAATGGGTTCAGGGACTTTCTCCTCTTGCTCTCCCAGTCCTTCTTGTCCTTCAATATGAGAACCCGAGTCTGTTTTTTCTGAGTCCTCGACAGGACGTGGGGTTTGGTGGCTCCCGTCTCTGCCTTACTACCCTCTCCTCCCAGCCTGACCCTCACCTCGTTCCATCAGTGAGTTGAGAAGAGATGCATTGGAGAAGAAGAACAAGTAGCCAAAAGTCTGAGACACAAGGTCTGGGTGCAGCTCACACTGGCTGGTTAGTTCTAAGGCTGCCTGGAACACACCCAGGGTGGGTCTCAGCCCTGGAGGCATGGCCCCCAGTTCAGCCCCAGGCCCTGGCAGCTCTGCTCCAGCCGTGAAGGGGTTACTGTCCAGGAGTGCAGGCAATGTTGAATACAGGGTCTGAGGAAATAGAGAGGTGAGAACACATGATCAAACCTGAACTCTCATTAAGCTTCAAGGCAAAAGTGCATAAAGATAAAGGGCTTCTGGGAGTTGTAGTTCATTCTACCTTAAATGTTAGCAAATTTCTACTTTCAAGATAATGGTGGTGCGCTGTTGAGTCTGTTCAGACTCATAGTGAGCCTATATAGGATTTCCAAGGCTGTAAATCTTTATAGGATCAGCAAGTCTCATCTTTCTCCTGCGGAGCATCTGGCGGACTCGAACTGCTGACCCAATTCATAATCCACGGTATGCTACCAGAGCCTTAGTATTTATCAAGTCTGATATGTCTCAAGTCTTTCGAATTTACAGAAATTTCTTGGTATTTTAAAACCACTTCTGGTGCATTCTGGGGCTTGTAGTTTTCTAGAGGGGCACCTCAAAGGAGGACAAAGGATACTTGATAAAGAGGCCCTCTTCAGTCCAAGAATTATTTATCCATAATCCTCAAAAGAAAGAATGGAGATGAGGAAATGGGGGTGGGGTGGCAGTCAGCCAGTGGAAAATGAGATCAAGTCAAGGGCAGGAAATGAAGTCAGAGCCAGAGAAGAAAGAAAACTTCACTTGGCAAGGATGCACCGGAAGTGAAGCCTTGGGGGGAAGGTCTTCCCAAATCAAGATCCCCTTTAATTTCAGAGAGAGAGAATCTGGGCCCATCAACATCTGGAGAACGTCAAGAAGGAATTTTACAGTCGAGGATGGTGGTAAGGAGATAGGCAGAAAGCAAGGCTGCAGGAAGTGTGTCCTGGGGAGACAAGGACTTATGACTCAGAAAAAAGAACTGCTGGAAGTGAAGTTAGCAAACCCACGTGGTAAGGCCTGGTTAAAGAGGACCTCTAATTGAAATGACAACACTGGCACACCATGGGCATTTATTTGATCAAAACTTATAACGATATTTATCAGTGACTAAAGGAGCTCTGGTAGCGTAGTGGCTATGAATCGGGCTGCGAACCTTAAGGTCAGCGGTTCGAAACTACC